TGCTCCTGGAAGCCTGTAGGAATGGCTAGTCCCCTCAAGAGTAAGACACAGGATCCTTGCTTTTCGGTGTGTGATGGGAGGCAGCAACAATGATCATTTCTGAGTGTTTATCAAAACCAGTAGAGCTGAAAAAATATACAAAGAAACACACTCATAGCAGAATGTGTGTTTGGCCCTTAACAGGTCTTTAAAGCTGCCACATATCTCAGGGTGCTGGCTATGGGAATAGCTATGTATCTCCTGTGCCCAGTCCCAGTACAAGAGACAGAGTATAACTTCTAGAGGCTGGGAAGGCAACTGTAAGAGGAGTGGGATGTGTGTGTCACATTTCAGCTCCCTAGTGGGCCACAATAACCACACCATCACCACATTTGTTATTGTTGTATGCCTTCAAGTCATTTCTGACTTATGGCAACCCTATTATGGGGTTTTCTTGGCAAGTTTCTTCAGAGGGAGTTTGTCATTGCCATACTTAGAGGCTAAGAGAGATTGACTTGCCCAAGAGGCAAAATAAATAAATAAATAAATAAAAATCTAACCTGAAAGTAATCATCACTCATGGAGGTCTTCAAGAAGTGCTACTGGCCCATTTGAAGGAACTCTCCCAATTGAATTTTTGGAGTATTTCAAGGGCATTGAGGGAACCAGTGGAAATGTGAGGGTCACCAAAAAGGAGACAGGCCACACTTTCTCCACTCTTGCCCTACAGAATCCTTGTAGGTAAGGGATAAAAGTCACAGGGAATAGAAATGCAAAAAGTACAAGTAGTAAACATGACCTAAATACAGTATCTCCATTAATCATCCTCATTAACAAAAATACAATAATACCACCAACATCACATGGGTCACCTGGGACTAATATATCTTGATGAGTCTTTTCAGCTACCAACTGTAGTGTAACCCCAGACTCATTTCAATGAGAGCTGCAAAGGAAATAGCCTGGTGGATTCTGTCCCTCATTTCCCCTAACATTAGAAGAACCCATAACATGGGTTTCCCTAAACAACATGTGTGTCTGCAAAGTGCAAAAAGACCAAGCTTTGCTAGTGAGGAGCAACTGCAAGGATGGAAAAAAATTATAAACTTGAGCTTTTGCACAAAAGTATCATAAAGCTTTTGCTTGGGAAAACACATTGGCTCTGTAAATGGAAAAAAGAAGAGGAAGCTTTTAGGTCTTTTTTAAAAATAAAAATAAAAAGTAAGTATGGAATACATAAAGACATCACAGGTTTGAGTAACTGAAAACAGTAGAGTGGGCGAAGAGGGTATATTTAACTAATTCATTTCCAGTCTTTTTTGCACAGTAGCATAGAGCTGTCAAAACTCCTTTGGATTACAGTCCTCTTTTGGATTACAGATTACAGATATGTAATCCCAAAACCAATGGTGTTGATATAGCCACAGTCATCCTGTTTGGACCATGCAACACCATTGCCAAGATTATACAGCACTGAATCAAGTAGCACATACTTCTTCTGACTATGTACACCTAGAATTCCACTCTGTTTTGTGCTCTTGGCAGACCTTGCATATTGGAACAGTGTTATAAATTATTAACATCATTTTACAATAAATGTTTTAAAGATGGTCCATTTGATTAAAAGATTAATCACTTGACTACTTGTGATTTCAAAGTGACTGATACAATTAAAAGAAATGCCATAGTTTATCATTACAGATGACATTTAGGATGTGTTTTAAAGCTGTGAAGCTATTCAAAGATGTCTTTAATTGATTAACTATCTTTTCTTAACTGATTGAAGTAAGTAACAGAAATATTGACATTTTTTCACATTCACTTGACAGTAAAATGCAATTAGTTCTTTACACAATACCAGATACTCGAAGATTACCATTCCATCACTCACATGAGGGGCAGGCAGCTCTTGGCTTCTATTATGTCAAGATTTCTGTGAATCAGGTCTGGTTTTTATTCCAGACTTTAAAGGAGATGTCCAAAGTAGTGAACCTGATCCTTCAAATAATGTCTTAACCTGAGATAGCTCCTTTATGTCTGGAAGAAAGCTCAGAATGGATTCATAACTCATATGGATGCCTCTGGCTAGCTTGATTCACACTGAAACACAAGCGAAGAAAAATAAATGGCTTTATAAACACAGTTCAAATGCAGCTCACTTGGTAAGGTAGGATACCACAATTTTCAGTAAGCACAGTGTCTTCCAGTTTATCCAAAGCAGCTTACCTAAAGTCCCTTCCATACAGCTTGGGTTATTTTAAATTCATATGGCTTAGCAATAGTAAAAACAACTGCAAGAAAAGTAAAGAAAACAGTACAAAAATTAAACCCAAACTTCAAGGAGATATCTGGTGGACTTTAAAACTCCTTTTTCAGCAGGTGAAGAGACAATTCAAAGTTCACTACTTTTTCCAAGATCTGGGTCAGCTTCCTCATATTTCCTCTGGTCCACTGATTTTGTTACAAGCTCCTTTTCTTCTTGTGGTCCAGCTGAGTGCACCTGGAGTTCTACTTGTTACAGCTGTCAGGACAGACTTCACAGGAGCAAGGCATGTAGTTTATTTATTTACTTCCCAACTTTCTTTTCATATGGGTCCCAAGGCAGCTTACAACAGTTTAATGCAATGTACAACTAAAATCTTATTACATGTTTAAAAAATTAAGAATCTATTAAAAGCCAAAGAGCCTGCCTAAATGAAAAGGCAGAAAAAGAGTAAAGAGGGGGACAACCAAACCTCATGTAGGAGGAATGTCCACAGCCCTGGAGCAATCACTGGAAAGGTTTTCTCTCTCTGGTGTCCTTACCAAATATACCTGTCAAAGGGGCCAATGGAAAACCCTCTGCCAAAGATTTTAAAAGGTTCATATAGGGAAATAAGGACATACTGTGAGATATAGGGCAGAAGAATCTATGACAACCACATATTTTTTCACACATAGAACTTTTTTCTCCCCTATCATGAGCCACACTCCCTTGGAGTAATGTGTTGGAAGGAGGATGCCAGCAATGGATGGGGCAGAACACAAAGCAAAATAATGAGCATTTCTGTGGATTTCTGCAGATTCTCCTGTAAAAACTGCAAACCCTTTATCGGTGGAGTTTAAGGAGTTTGTTGCCCTGCCCCCACAGCCCAAACTCCTCCAAATTGCATTTTGATCACATTCTACTCAGCTGGAATGAGTATTTAAAAGTGTAGAGTAGCCTTTGGCTGAGCTGGGGCTGCTGGAAGTTGAAGGCCAAAATATCAGGAGGGTCAATGGTTCCCTATGCCTGGGTCAAGAGCTGCAAGTTTGCCAGCCCTCCAGTTTCAATCTCTGGGTTTGCAGCTTTCCCTCAGAATCAGGGCCTTATTGCATTTTAAAAGAAAGACGAGAGACAGAGAGATAGAAGTAATTTTATGCTTACCTTCCCATATGACATTGTAGTACTTCCTTTCTCACTCCAGAGGAAGCTAGTTGTAAACGTGTGGGTTTTGCCAAATGGATTTTTCCAGCAGGACAAAAGGCACACATTTATGATCTTCTTCTTAGGCAGTAGAGCAAAAGTGCTTCTTGGACATGCAGAGATGTAAACAGAAAGTCACTTCTATCTTGCTTATCTTTCTTTTGTAATGCGGTAAGGCCCTCCATCTTAGGCCTGGTTGATTCATTGTACAAATTCAGATTGGAGGATTCCATTTTTGAGTGTTTTCTGAGATGAAAAATGCCTATTTCATATGAAGGATTAAAAATTGGTAGGAAGGCCTTCTCTTACTATATAAGTTTTCTACTTGCAGGGTCTTTATTTTATTGTTGGCTTTATTTGTTGGTGTAGTTGGCTTTATTTGTTGGTGTATTAAAAGAGGAGGGTTAAAGATTCTTGAAGGGGCATTGTCCATTCTACCACCATAGACCTACAACCTTCTCCCCCACCCCATACCTCTGTGTAATATTAGGACTTAAACTTTTTTCACATTTGAGTCCTTAGGTTGCTTAGGTAATGGAGGAACAATTTACAAACTCAAGTTCAAGCCAATGACATTTCTTACAGTCATGGACACTTGAGACATATAATTAGGTAGAAATGCCAATCGGCTCATTATCTGATGTTGCTGCTTTGCTTTGAATTAAAACAAAACAGACTAAAATAATCCTCAGTTTCTAAACTTTACTTGCAAAACACGAAGCATCTAGAGGAGAAAAGAGTCAGGGGAAGGATAAGAATCATGAGATCAACTCCACACCCCAAACACGTGTGCTGATTCACATAGACATATCTGTTTCTCATCCAGTGGAAGAAGGGCTGTGGGAGTCCTGAGTAGCATGCTCCTTACCATGTGGCAGCTGGTGGCTTCCATGTTAGTGGTGTGTTGAAACCAAGCTTTATGTCAAACATTAAGGGAGCTGTCCAAGGTGATGAATTCTAGCCCCCAAATAGGTTTACACACTCTTTAAAGTTATGGATAAAAACAGAAAGGGAAATATGACCCATCACTGCCCCACCATCCGCCACATTTCTTTCCCTGCTGCTGCTCCACTTTCTTTCCCTACATGCTGGTGCTTTCTTTCTCTATTTCCTCACTCCCTCTCATTCTGTTTTCTCTCTTGATGTTCAACCTCTCTCTACCTCCAAGTCTCTTTCTGCACCACACACCCAATGCAACACATACTCTCCCTTTTTTCTTTTCATAAGGTACCAATATAGTTTCTGTCTTTGGTTTCCCTCTTTTTTTGTCTTAAAAAGCCAAGCATGCTGCAGATAAAGCTGCCGCCTGGCATCTTGATTCACTCCTGTGTGCCTCTTGGCCTTTGTGAACACTCCTAGAAACTTGTTTCAAAAATGGAGATGTGGGATGATAACTTGATGTACGCTGCCCCGATAACTTGATGTACGCCTCCCCGATTGCTGAGCAGAGGGGCGGGTTACAAATAAAATTTATTATTATTATTATTATTCAGCTTCCTCCACAGCAGACTGAAGCTTTTCTTAAAATGTAACCAAAAGAAGAACAAAGGAAAGCAAGGTACCACTACTTTGTGGGGGGTACGTAGTGTAGTGGTTTGAGCACTGTACCACTACTCTGGAGACCAGGTTTTGAATCCCTGCTTGGCCATGGAAATCCACTGGGTGACCTTGAGCAAGTCACACAATCTCAGCCTAATAGGAAGGCAAAGACAACCCCTTTGTAAACAAATCTTGCCAAGAAAACACAGTCATAGTTTCACCTTAGGGTTGCCATAAGTAAAACATGACTTGTAGGTACATAATAATAATCATATTAGAGGAAGAAAAGGGAACATGTGTAAGAGATGGATGGTGATAGTGCTTGCAGGCTTGCCTGAATATCCTTCTCCTCCCCATCCTCCTCCTCCTCTTTACAACATTTGTGCCAACTGAAATATGAGCCCTCTGTTGCAGGGCCCCAGGTCTCCATCCCATGGTCTGGTCTTCATGGCACCTTCATTCTCATCATTGATAACCCTACACTTCATGGGTGGCACCAAAACATATGACCTAGTTCCAGTGAAAAGTAGTTGCATTTGAGACAATGTTGGAGAGTCCTATCTGTAGTATTAGACCGGTTATGATCTAAAACACTCTGCAGAAATAATCCAGTTTGAGACCACTTTAACTTCCCTGGCTCAATGCTAGGGAATTCTGGAAAGTGTAATTTTGTGAGACATTTAGCCTTCTCTGTCAGAAAGCTCTGGTGCCACAATAAACTACAATTCCCAGGACTGCTAGACTTGCATTAATTCCCCCCCCCCAACCATGCTGATCCTGTGGCTGTTATATTATAAACACACATGCGTGAACAGCCTTACATGTGCATGTTTGTCTATTTTTTTTCACCTACAAGAGAACTAATCAAAAGGAAAGGCATGGAAAGAATTAATGTAATGTTTCTTTCATTCAGTTCTTGCTTATGTCATCTGGATGCCGACCGAGATGGCAACCCAACAACGTTCTGTATTTTAGTTTCCTTGTTTTAATTCAGTGCTCCAATGTTTAACTTTCTCTGAACTATGACTTCTTAAACACACACACACACACTCAGAAAGCATCATTTTGGGAGTCCTGGGTGGCCCAAGCTTAGGCTTGTGTGAAGAAAAAAACCTCACCTACTCTTCAAAGTCTTTTCTTTTTTTTAAAAAAAAATCTTGGACATGCTTTTCCCTCCTCCCTTCTTCCCCACAATATGTTTCTACAGCCTGTAACCAGACTCAGTAAAAACAAATCATCTGGTACTAGCTGGATAAAAAAGAAATATAGTGTCCTCTGCCTTCAGGCAAGAATAGTAGGTTTGTTTTTGTACTGCTGTGGTATTTGGAATGTCCCCATGTGGCCTATAGTAGAATGCTTTCTTTCCTTCCTTCTATTTCACTCTTTTACACACAGAAATTCACACATAGGAATCTCACACATACTTTAGCCTTAGGGTTACTTTGTATGCTGCATTGAGTAGGCACAGGTTGACTCTCTCCAGTCACACTTGTGTCTAAAATATACATGAGAGAGGCTCGTGAGAATGAGCAATTTATGTGACTGGATTCCTGTTGGACCCTGGGGTCTAGCTAGCACTTTATGTAGAACAGGTGATTTCACATGTATTATTCATCCGTACAAAAGGTTTCCTTGGCTTGTGTCCTCTCTTTGCAAAATACTGAAAGGAGACCAATAGCTGCAGGGATATTTATTATTTAAAAAAAACATTAATTAATTTTAATGTAAAGATGGCCACGTGCTGGGAGGAAAGAAAGAAAGCAGGAAAGAATTATAATTTAAAGATACTGATGTACTTGAAGCTTTCCGTGCTGTTTTTAGTCAGTAGGTGGCAGACTTTCCCAACCAGCTCATAGTTTGGCAATCAATACAGGTTGAACTGGGGGGAGTATTCTGGGGGACAAAGTCAGACTTACATAAGTTACTTCTTTTGGATCACCATATTCAAAATGCCTGTTGGCTGGGTTATTCTGGGATCTGCAGTCCAAAATAGTAACCGGAGCTGTGGAGAAAGTTATAGGGCTGCCTCTTCATGTTGATGTGGAGCAAAATATCATGGGAATAGAGTGAACTAGCCAGTCCCTAATAGTGTCATAAGGGTGTGCCATGGTAAGATGTATAGCTAGATGTACCTGGGGCTTTATTCATACAGGGGGAGTGTTATATCTCTGGTTCTGACAGCTGTACCTGAAGACTTGGGTGTAATGCACTAAGCCATTCCAACCCATACAAAGTCAAGGTGCCTTTGCAAAGTAAATAAATAATGACCTTTTTGTCTGATTGACTCACTACAAAATCTCATATTATTTCTTAATTATTTATTAGTCTACTCTAATTCATTCCTTCTGTCAGGGTTACTGCCATAGTCATTTTTTTGAAAAAATATCCGAAGAAAGCATTTTCATGATGACGTGACAGGTTTAATTAAAGATGAACACTTTATTTATCATTTCTGGTCTATCATTTCTGGAACTTCTTTCTTCATTTTCCCATTGTTCACCCAGTAAACTTCTGTCAATACAAAATTCAGGTGTTCATTACATGAGTCTGGTTCAGTCCTTCCTCATATGTAATAACATTCTAATAGATTCTGTTCTTTGTATTTTATTGATTTGCAACTATTGTAAACTGCTCAGAGGACTTTGCTCATGGCTATTATTAAAATTTTACAAATGAAATGAAATGAAATAACCATTTGTCTACTCTGACTAGTAGTGGTTCTCCAGAGATCTCAAGCCAGCATTTGCTATCAGCTGGTTCCTGAACTTCTAAACTGAGATGCCAAGGATTGAACTTGGGACTTTCTACATGTAAAACTTATGCTCTTCTATTGAGTTACAGCCCCCCCCCTTAAAAGAGTGCTGGGGAACCTGTGGTCTTCCAGATGCTGATGAACTATTCGACTGGGGTGGGCAGTGCAGAGGAGCAGAGGCCACTCTCCCCTGCTCCACCATTGTTTTTCCAGAATTGATATAATGTTATTTCAGCCACCATTTTGCCCAATTTTTAGCATGGGGTGAGTGGGTTAGGAGTTCTAGGAGGTGGGGGCAGTAGACTGCCACATTGGTAGCTGATCCAATTACGACCAAAATCCACCAAACAGTGATAACTTTATCGGGCCAACCAAAATGCACAATATACATGTTGCAAGCTTTCAATGCTCCACTGGCTTCTTCATCAGGCAAGGTGTTAAAAATCATAAGCGGGGGGAGATGTTAGTCATAGGCCTGCATTTTGCTGTTTTTGTTCTCACTTCAGATGGTATGGAGGGGTATATGGTTTAGGGTGTTTAGGGGCAGTTTTTTGAGTGAAAAATTGTCTGAAAATTGGCACAGAAATCAAATAAAATCATTTTGGTGGATCTGAGAGCTTGGACTGGGGGCTTCTGTGCAACTGAAGGGGCTGCTCTTTGGAGTCTTGAGGAAACCTGTGGCCTTTGGTTCACACTTTTCCCAGCCTTGTATTAGCCCAATCCAGTGTCACCACTGGCCAAGCTATTTGGGAATGAAGAGAACTGGAAGTCAATATCTCGAGTCTAGAAGGCCACCCACAAGTTCTCCAGACTTGTTCTAAAGGATCCTTGATTGTTCTCATGCCCATCTTCTTTCCCATTTTCCCATATGCATCTTGAACTTTATTTATGTATTTCATACCACATGCCATTTTTCCCCATCAAGGCTGTGTGGTGGAGGTTATTTCTGCCCTAACAAATTTTGTCTGGAACACAGAGGTCAAGAGGTTATAGAAAGGTTTGGAAATATCTGATGATTCTTCCAGTCTATGAATGTGAAAAACACTATTTCTTCCCCCCTCTCTTTCTCAAAATTGTTGCCTGGTTGACTTTTAAATCCATTTCTACTAATTGCTTCACTTACTTTATCTCATAATAATATATTCCTTGTGCCTATTACCATTTGATTGAAATAGCACTGCCTGCTTTCCCCTTTCACTCTTAATTTCCTATTTTTTTTAAAAAAAAAAATACATTCCTTGTTTCTTCAATCTCATCAGGTTGAAGTGTTTATCTTATACCACTTGATCAAGCCACCTCAGAATTTGAATATTTTTCACAGCCCATTAAGATTTCTGTTTTTGTTGTAATCTTTTTTTTTTTTCAAGACAAGTGAATTGATGGAGTATCAGTTCATTTTAATCTAGATTTCAGGTGAGATGTAAATGCTACAAAACAATTTTGCAACTGAATTATATACTTTGGTGGCATCTATACCTTTCAGATTGTTATATTCTCTTCTAAAACTATGATAAATTTCTTCTAAAGTCCATATAATATTTTGTGATTGAATGATTTGTTCTTAACTGCCATCAAGTTGACTGATTTATGGCAACCATATAAATGAGAGCCCTCCAAGCAGAGCTGTTGCTCTGCTCAGGTCCTGCTGACACAGGGTAGTGGCTTCTTTGATTGCATCTATCCATCCATAATTGGTCTTCGTCTTTTCCTACTGCCTTTTAACCTTACCAACCACTATTGTTTTTTCTGCAATACCATGCTGGCTTTGATTTAATAATACCATATGATGTTTTTTTTAGGAAGGAAATCTTAGCTCAGCAGTGTAGTATTCAAAATTGGCACTTGGACAAGTACAGGCATCTTGTTGCAGTCTTCCCTGGTATGGAATAAACACTTTTGGCTGGTGGCTTCCATGTCACTGGGATGGTGACTCCACCTCAAGTTTTTGAGCCCTGGTGGCACAGTGATTAAATGGTGGGACTGCAGCCACAAGGTTGTGAGTTCAATCACAGGGCTCCAAGGTTGAACTCAGCCTTCCATCTTTTCATAGGTCCATAAAATGAGTATCCAGCTTGTTGGGGGCAATTGGCTTGCACATTGTAAACTACTTAGAGAGTGCTGAGTTCACTATGAAGTGGTATAGAGATGTAAATTCTCTTGATATTGCTATTGTCTGAACTTCAGTGGAGCTATCAAAGTGCTGAACAATAGAATCTATCGCCTTAGATTAAAATCCCGAGTGGATTGATCACCTTGCAGAGATGAAAGCTGGCAGCCACCACTGGGCATGAGGTGCATTGTAGTTCTATAAAAATTATATTGTAGCTCTATAGTAGGGTGTGCACCTCTACAAGATT